TAAAGACTGTTGTCATTTTGCCTCTTTGCGGTATACCATATATTAGACTATTGTCATTTTGCCAAAGAACCCTCAGTTCCATGCATGTGCTTCCATCTTATGATTGGAAAAGTCATATGCTTAACTCAATTTTTATCCTTAGATCTCTACTATGGATCAGGTGAATCTGGTAAAAAATTTCCTTAGTTTTCAGAATGATCATATTCACCACTAACAGTTCCTATCCCCTTCAAATTAGAAGTTAGCCACTTTTCACAAAGTAATGAGTAAATTACTTAGTTTACTTTCAGCATGTTTCTCTTGGTAGATTAATTCTGAAGTGGTGAGGTCCCTGGTACTGACAGGTGTCAATCCAGTCATCAAACTTGAGTCTGAGTCATTTGGGTTAAACCATCACAATGCACAGAGATATTCAATTCTAATGACATCATCACTGATAGAAATGGGAAATCAGGAGAGTTGCGGATGTCTTATAACAAATAAAAGCAATGAAAGTAACAGGTATGTAAAAACAGGTTTCATATATGACTTAGAAAATACCCCGTTGTGATTGGCTGATAGCTGGCCAATTTGTTGTTAATATTAATCGAATATGTGTGCATATTTAATGTTAAATCGGTTTGCATTTCATAATTTTCTCAGTCATATAATTATAGTAAATGTGTAGTCATGTGAAAGTTAATGCAATTTACACTAGCATACCTATTAGCTAGTGATATTTGAAAATTTCTTTAAATTGCACCAGTTGGAATTCATATGTAATTTACTTATACTTACTATAGACTGTTTGCCATTGATCATTTCTTATTGAGTCCGACCACATGCCATGCATACACTTGCTTCTGCCAATCCCATTTGATCTCAAATGTCGCATTACCTTTACTCTCTGCACGATGTTGAGAGAAAACAGACAACAAGCAAGACATACTCCCAGCTATTCCTTGCCTGATTTTAAGAGAAAAACAAACTGCAGATAGTCCATGTTCATCCACAGTCTGAGAAAGTACAGTAACAGAGCATATGCTGGTATGTTGGCTGGTAGTCACATGACTGTTTATCTGGCTGGAAGTCACATGACTGTTTTGATCATTAGAATAGGTGCTGCAACTTACTAGGAGAAAAACTGACCAGTGTGGTCTGTTAAAAATCTTTGAGTTTGATTGTAATCTGGCTGTAATGTTCATAGTTTACTGTGAAAATGTCATTTTTTCTTTCTAGGCCAAACGAATGTTTCTGTAATGGTGCTATCCCCAGTTGTTCACATTCAGATGCTATCCCAGTGGTTAAGGCAGGAAATGAATGCTGTCATATTGAAAAGAATTGTTCAAGCTTCAAAGAGCTATGTAACCCTGCTTGGCTGGCACCTCTTTATATCCCAGCCACAGGGACAATATTACACTGTGAAGTTGTTGACAGCGGCACTGGCCCATACATAAACTCTGACAGGTAAATACTCCTATTTATTTTATGGCAAGGTAATTTTGAGGTAAATCAGAGCA